AAAGCTGCGAAAGTCCTGGTCATGGAAAAGGAAACCATGGAAAACGCACTGGACCAATCCCAAAAGGGACGAGGTCGACTTTCCTACGGGACTGACCTTTTGCAATTGCACGACGAAGAACCTACGGCACCTTCCAAAGGACCTAAGTCACTCCTAAGCAAATACTGCAAGGATTATGGTCTATACTTCCCTGAGAAATCTCAGGAAGCGTTGGACCAGGAGGTCTGGAACCCTAAAAAGCTCAAGAAATGGAAGGAGCTGGTTCGCCAAGAAAGACCCTTAGTGGTCATCTTGCGGCAACGATACCGCTACGATCCTGGCAGCCCAAGTCGCCAGACGTTTCACGAAGCCCTGCTCTGGACTCTCAGAGAACAAACCAGACAGGGAAGGTATTGGATCCTGGGACATCCACACGGAAAATCCCTGTGGAAAGACTGGCAAATAGCAGAAGAGATGCATGCAGCAAAAGCATCAGCCGCAATTCTGCGAATCCAGTCAACAGGAAGTGAACCAATCAGATACCAGTGCGTAGGTAACCACGAGTATCTCACAGAGAGCCTGGTGCCAACAGTAAATGAAGCTGGACAGGCAAGAGAAAGCTTGCTTCACGCCATCCTGAACGGCATCAGAAGAGTGGTAAGAAACCGCGACCCGACAAGGTTTCAAGAGGCCCACGCTAGACCAAGACGCTCAGTCGCGTGTGGAGAATGGGATCGCAACATAGCCACCGCTCCAACGGCCACGTCATACTACACCGACCTGGCCAGAGACACAACGGTGTGGAGACAAGTAATGGGGCAGGTGCAAGACTTGTTTCGCACCAGCTCAGTTAAGCAGATCACTCTCACAGAAGGAAATGATCTGTTTCAAACACTGACCGGGTTGATTCCCTGGGAAATAAGCAAAATCCAAGTAGCCCGAGCGCCAGCTGCTCGAAGGTTACCAGTTAACTTTCCATATACGCATCGAGCTGCCGTCATCCTGTACTCAGACGACTCGATAGCGGTGGAAAGCGAGGACATCCAGAACATCGCATTCCCAAGGCAGAGGTTCGTGAGACCGGTCAAGTACGCCATCCTGGCATACGGAAACGCGCCAACAGACGAAGAAGACTCCCGACAACCTGAGACGGAAGTACCTCAGAGTGAGACAAGAGGAGCAGAGATCAGTTTCCCGGACTGCCGAGTTCCAAGAGACATCAAAAGGGCAGTGGCGAGACTACACGTGAACCTGGGCCATAAAACATCGACGGATCTCGTCCGCATGTTGGTCTTACACGGCTCAATCACGACGGAGGCGCTATCCGCAGCAAAGAAATTGAAGTGTGCCAGCTGCGAGAGAATGAGACAGCTGCCACACAATCGACCATCCAAAACGGTCAAGTACCTGGGACAGCTGAATGACAACGTCCTGGCAGATTTGTTCTACGCGAGAAATATCAAAGGTGAAAACTTCACCCTGCTAGGGATCATAGACGAATCCACCGGACTGCACCAGGTGAGGATCCTCCAAGACAAAAACCCTGACACAATCTTGGAGGCTATTCAGCAAATGTGGATCCGACCGTACGGAATGCCATACAAAATCACCTTGGATCAAGAAGGAGGATTCCAAGGAATCACATGAGAACACCTCACACGCCAAGGTGTCGAAGTGGACTACGTTCCTCCAGAGGCTCACCACCGGATGGGCAAGGTGGAGAGAAACAACTCGGTCTTCAGGGAAATCCTGAATCGAACCGCAGATGCCACTGGCGCGGTGACAACTGAAGAAATGAACGAGGCCGTGGACTCCTGCATCCACGCAGTCAACTCGATGCCAAGGTCTCGAGGAATGTCGCCATACGCCTGTGTGTTCGGGCAAGTTCCCCGCGTACCGGGAGAAATCCTGACGGACGAACACAGCCTGGCAGTAGACGTTGACGGACAGCAACATCGGCTACGCTCGATGATCTTCCGAGCAGAGGCCCAGAAGGCAGCGGCAGACGTCAACGTAGACACCCACCTCCGACGCGCACTTCTAAGGAAGACAGCGCACATGAGGGTGGATGACATTCCCATCGGAGGAAAAGTAGCAGTATGGAGAGAACAACTCCGTGGAAAATCCACCAAGAAACGCGGTGGCTACGTGATAGGACGACTAATCACGTGGGACGGAACATGCGCCTGGGTCCAGATTGGGTGGCAGACAGTCAAGGTCGACAGGGCACAAATGAGACCAGCCCTAGGCTTCGAAAACTGGACGCCAGACACCGACGACATAACTGCCCTCAAACAGGCAGAACAGAACTTCCTAGACGGTGAAGTGGAAGAAGACCACTCAGATCCACCACCTCTAGACGAACCAATAGTTCCCCAGGTGATGGACTACGGAACTTACGGCGCTGAGGGAAGTGACATCCTCCGACTACCCGAAGCAGTCGGTGCGTACCAAAGGTCAGAAGGAATCCAATCAGAACCGTATGGACCATCGAGGAGAACCAGTAAGATTAGCAGCATCGGCGCTCCAACGCCTTACTCCAAACCCGACGCTGCAAATAAACCACTTCCGGAACTAGCTCCACGTCCAAGCCAGTCAGAGTCATCTCAAGGAATAAAACGAGCAGTCGAGCAAGAACTGCCAGACTCCGACTCCCAAGAGACCAAAAGAATTGCAGTCGAAGACGTGGAAGGAGAACCAACACCAGCAGGCGACCCGACACAAGCCCCTGCTGCGACTACAACCCTTCCTCCCGTTCCGGAAGAAAGAGTGGGAGCGTCTGAAGCGCTCTTAGGATTGGTAGAAACCAACCCAGGGCAATTCGAACTGGATGAGCCAGGAGATGACGGATCGCCGCCATTAGCAGCAAGATCCGAACGAATGATCAATCTACCTGAGGTCTTCAAGTCAGAATACGACGGTCCTACTCTGGACGCAGATGACATGGACCAGGTAGAAGATTGTCATCCGGACTGGGAAATCTGCTACGCAGGCGACCAGACCCAGCTAGTCAATCCGACCACGCTGACAAGAAAGGAACAAAAAGCGCTGGACAGAGAAATCCCGTGGAGAGAAATCGTTTCCCGCGGAGGAGATTATCTAAAGCAGTTCGTGAGCGCGGCCCAAAAAGAATGCACAAGCTGGAAGCAATGGGGCCCAGTAGAACCAATGACGAGCAAAGAAGCACAAAAAGTGCTGGGCGACCCCATCCTGCGAAAAAGGGTACTAAAGGCCCGTACCTGCTACCGCGACAAAAACATCGGCAGAAGCCCGCTCAAACCAAAGGCAAGGGTAGTTGTCCTTGGACATCGGGACCCCGACTTGTCCTGTATAAACCGTGACGCGCCAACACCATCACGGACTAGTGAGATGGTGCTCCTCACTGTGTTTATCTGTGGCGTAAACGGAGGATATGGGGTATCCAGCGAATGGCAGCTGTACGCAGCGGACGCCTCAACAGCGTTTCTGCAGGGGCAGCAGCCGACAGACGAAAGGCCCGGAGAACTGTACATGATGCCACCTGAGGACCCGATAATGGGCCAGGTTGAGGACGGATGGAACCATCCCATGTACAGGATCGTTGGAAATATCTATGGGCTAGCAAACGTGCCCAGGTTGTGGGCACAAGAGGTCATTTCAAAATTGACCGCGGCCAACTTCAAGGCGCACACCCTGGACCACATGCTCTTCCTTCACAGGGATGAGAAGCAGCAGGTGAACTGCGCTATCATTGTGTACGTCGACGATTTCTTAATCGTTCGACATGAATCATTCCCCCTCGAGATCCTCACAAACATGTTTAAATGGGGAGACTGGACCGAGGTGAGACAGGGAATCCGATTCAAAGGGAAGAACATCAGAATGACCAAGGACCAAGAAACAAAGGAATGGATCTTGACAATCGACCAAGAAGACTTCATTACAGGCATGACCATCGGTCAGGTGCCCAGAAGCCGAAGCCAATCAGATCCAACCCTGACAGCAGAGGAGTTGACGGAATTCCGATCCTGCTGTGGGAGCCTACAATGGCTGGCAGGCCAAACCAGGCCAGACATTGCATCGGCAGTATCCCTCTCGAGCAAAGGACTAGAAACGAAGATAGATGACCTCAAACGTCTTTATCGGTTGATGTCCTACGTAAAGGCAACCAGCGACGTCGGTATCACACTGAAACCCATCAAGTTGTGTTCCGAGACAATCGTAGTGTCATACGGCGATTGTAGCTGGGCCAATGCCGAAGGGATGAAAAGCCAAGAGGGAATCATCGTGGTACTGTCCTCAAGTGACTGCCTTGAGGGACAATCACGCTGCATCCCAATGGACTGGAAAACATGCCGAACACCCAGAGTAGTAAGATCAACTCTGGCAGGTGAAGCGTACGCAGCAGACGACGCGATAGACAGAGCTCATCACGTCAATGCGACGCTGACAGAAATCCTTACCGGTGATTCAATCTTGAACACAGGACCGATCCTGAAACACGCCCACGCGACGGACTGCCGTTCGCTGTTCGATTCGGTCATCAGTTCAAACCCGAACACCGAGGAAAAGAGGGTGCTCTTGACGATCCGAGCGATCCAAGAGGCACTAGACTCCAGAATGATGCGATGGGTGCCCACGGACAAGATGATAGCAGACATCTTGACCAAGGATTCTGACAACCTACGGTGGAGTTTCCTTCCGTGGATGAAAGACCCAACGTGTCAGCTCAAGCGAATCGCTGAGTGA